CGTTCCCCCCCCCCTGCCAATTAAAAATAACACGGGGGGCTTCTGGTGGGCAGACACGGGTTTGCGGTGCTTCGTGTCACGGGTTAAGCCTCGTCGTGCCCCTATTGGGAAGCGCTTCCCCCACTTTCTAGGTTTAGGTGCAACACACAACACAGGACAGACACATAAGTTCCTGTTTGCTGGAGCCCAACTGCTTTGAACAGGGACCAGGGCTCTTCACTCCGGGAACTGCTTCTCCAGTCCCTTAGACCGAAAACATTCATTAACTCCATTCCATCGGGTAGCACTGGGTAGGCATGGCCTGCAGGTCTCTTCTCCTTGCCCGGTTGCAGTATCTGGGGATGAGGGACAAGCTGGGCAGGGCCAGGAACCAGCCCATGAAGCCTGTTGCAGGCAGGATCTCATACCACAGGGCTACTCCACTTTGGAAGGTCGGGGGCCACAACTTAAGTGTGGTTGCATTATACATGCAAATATATATGCAAATAGCTTTTTACACTGATGGGCATGAATACAAAAAATTAAGCCTTAAGCCACGACACCGGACCCAAACGTGGCCAGTGTGACCTAGTCAGTACCTCTCAGACTTTGCCCACAAGGCTAAGCAGCCTACACTTCCCACAATGCTCTGGCGCTCCCAGCCCCTCTTCCCTGGGGGCTAGATACGCTGACACTCTGTACCCATCTATTCCAGCCAGCCAGTCTAGTATCTTTCAGTGTTCACCTCGCCTGGGAGATGCCTCATTGTTGTGGAGTGTGTTCCCAGTGGAGGCCATGTTCAAAGGATCCCACCTGCGGGCCCTGTGTAAACCCAAACTCCACTGCGGCCACAAACAAATGAATCTCGGGTCGCATGTGGCCCGCGTGTTGAGTACCCCTGTCGTACCACATCCCATCATCGGCTCAAGCTGCTCCCTCACCACTAACTATGTTGAGCTTCCTGGGTAGGCACCATGCTCCTGGGGTTGAGGCGCTAAGGAAGCGGCAAATGGGGCCAGCTTTAGCCACAGTGATACTGAAGGGATACAGTATGTTCAGCTGAGACACCCCCCACCCCCAGTGCTTTGCATAGATGGAGAAAGGTGGCATTAGCTTTGTACCCCAGGTAGATGGAATCTGAGCCTTATTTTCCATTGGAAAAGTCCAGCAGATTGGAATGGGGCAAGATTTCATACAGAGTGGTTAATGATTTGCATCCTAATTACTGAGTAATTCAAGGGCAGAATTGGGGCTAGATTAGAGGTAGCTTGAAATTCAGGGTATGTCTATTTTTACTGGAAGATTGACACTCTGGCAGTTTAATTTAGCGGGTCTAGTATACACCCGTAAATCGAATGCTAAAGGCAGTTCCTGCCAGTGTTCAGCGCTCCTCTCTTTGTGAGGAGTAAGGGAAGCTGATGGGAGGCTTTTGCTCCTGTCAGCCTCCCTCAGTGTGGACGCCACCACGGCTCATCTTAAGGTAAGATTACTCCAAGTATGCATTTTGCGTAGCTGCAGTTGTGTACCTTAAGCCTTCCTTCCAGGTTCAGTGTAGATCTGCCCTCAGTCCACTAACAGCTTAGCCCTGCCATATTATCTGTGGGCAGAAGAACCCACATTTCACTTTAGCTGGGTTGTGAGCAGCTGTAAGGATCCACCCATGTGGATCTCTAAGGTGCTACAGGACCATTGTTGTTTTTAAAATTTTGTTAGTTACAGATTAACATGGCTACCTCTCTGAGACTTTCAAAATGGTTATAGTATTACATTCACAACACAACTTTCAATGGCTTTTTAGTCTCAGATATAACTAGAACTAGTACCTATATACATTTTTATATTACCAGATTATTTAATTTACAAAGTACAGCAATGAAGGGAGAAC